AACGAAAAAAGAGATTAGATATAACATTTTCGTTAGATTGTATATTAGATGATAAAATACATACATACCAATTAACATTACATGATGATCACAAAATGGAAATTCAAATAATCTATTGTCTATCAAAATTCTCAATGCGCTTAGTCTGACATCATGATTTTTGATTGCGCTTAGTATTTTTTTGATTCTGAGTCCTTTACTATTGGTAATAACGAATCAAACTTGCAGAAGTTATACTTTACTAATAGTGATGCTATTACTTCAATTTTCAAATGAAAATCAGCACGAAAATACCAACTATTCTTATTTCCTTCAAATTTGTCTAAAATCCTTCTGATTTTATTTACATAGTCAGCATCTACACGATATTTTTCTCTGATTACAAGTAAACAAACAAAAGTTTTGACAGCAAACAATTTAGTACAACCACGTGAACACTTTTTTCGTATCTTCTAAAAAGTATTTTAGATATAGACAAGACAATCGCAAAAAAATTTTCAATAAAAAGTAGATGATATAGAGAAAAAAGTTGTATAAAATACCCTCAAAGATACCCAATGTTTATAAGCGATAAGCAAACTGCGTTTTCATAACGTTTTTTATTCTCTCTCTTCTCCACCTTCTTTATTTATCTCTTCACACGCATCCACCCATGCATTATGCACATCTATGGCTTCTGATAAATAATGTACCGTTGTTGAATACGTTTCGCGACACATTCGACCTAAAAAACGCACAAATGTTTTATGAATTAGTCTAAATTGAAGGATGCAATCGTTTGTCTTACATTCGATAGTACCAACATTGGCTTTTCGATCTCTGAAATAAAGAAACCATTAACAGAAAAATAGAATGCATTCTACAACTAGGATTACTTACATCTTGACTTCACAACTTCGATCATGTCCACAAAAAGGACTAAATAAACAAGTAATAAATTTGAAAAAGAATTCACAAAACGAATACGGTTATTTACCAAGAAAAATAGGTTTCTAATGGTTTGATACGTTTTTGTTTGGGTGGTGGTTTTCGTTTACTTTTTCGTTTACCCATTTTGTATACTTTTAGACCAATATATAATCTAAAAATATTTTCATATAGATTAGAAGATTTTTCAACATAAAATAAATTCGAAATACAAAGATACATGTTTTTAATTAAATATATTTTAAATAGTTTTCTGTATATTGAAAAATAACAAATAAAATTTCAAAAAATAATAACAAAAAAACGATTATTTTTTCTTCTTTTTATTCTTTTTCACAGAAGTTTCAGTAGTATTTTCGATTACTTTTGCATGATTTTTCTCTTTAATATGATCAAATAGACGATTTCTAGTTGAAAATTCTTCTTTACATATCAAACATTGATGGATAATATTTGTGGGCTGAAATAAAGGAATATATATATATCATTATTCGAAATTTCCCGTATACGTAGTCTTTCAAAAAATAATTTTTCCACACATCTAAAAAATTATTGTTCTCATACCGTACCGATCTCAAACTTTTCTAATCAAATTAGACTCCTCTGAAGTAGCTAATCACTATCTGAAGAGGCTTATATAGAAAGTTTGTTAGCAAGAATTAATTTTATAATTATGTCAAAGAGAAAATGTTAAACGCTTAATATACTTTCTTTCTTACCTCTTCATCAATTTCATTATTGCCATTTTGTCGACTGCTTGTCGTCAATTTTGTTTTTGTTTTGATTTTTTCATCTGGAGCAACTGGCAATATAATATGAAATTCTTCATCTTCTTCTTTGTTTGACGAATGAATTTCATTTGATATTTGATCATTTAATTCGCTTTCTAAGTCTTGTCGAATTTGTTCTGTTTCATCATCACTTTCATCGTCAGATTTTTTATTGCGCCGTTGTTTCTTTTTCTTCTTTTTTGATTTACTAAAAACGATTGATACATCCACATACATTAATAAAATATTCATTATTTTAAATAGACAAATTAATTTACCTTTGTTTTCCACTGTTTGATGCCTGAATTATTTTTGTAAGGAGATTCTCAACATTATCATCATCATCATCATTCACTGGATTATTATTATCTTCAGTATTCAACAGTACATCATTTTCTGCTTGCATATGAGCTTTCAGTAACTCAACACTCTCTTTGTGTTTTTTCGAATTTTCATGATTTAAAAATCTAAACATAATAATTTTCAAGAATTTTCTTAAAATCTAATCACAAAACATCGAAAATAAAAACTTACGCTTTATCAGATTTAAACGATTTATTACACGCTACACAATATAATTCATTTATAAGTTCTTCATTTTCACTTTCATTTGAATTTGCCTCATTAGTTTGATCAACTGCCGATGCACTACCATCTTCGAATAGAAAAAGAGATAATAAAATAAATTATTTTCATTCACTAATACATACTAGTATCTTTGTCTTTGAAACTTTCTTTGACACTTTTTTTCAACATCTTCTAGTTGTTTTCTAAATTCTTCAAATGACATCCATTGTGATTCTTGATATTGTGATAATTCACTTAAATAGAAAAATAATAATCTCAAATCTTTAATATTTTAATTTAATTTTTGAGTAAACAATTTTTCTTTTAAATATTCTCACTCGAGTTTTTTCTTTTTCTCTTTATTTTTTCGTTCATTATCAGCTTTTTTCTTTTCTTGTGCACGTTCTTCCAATAAAAGCTAAAAAAATTAAAAATACATTATATTTAAAAGAAAACAACATAGCACTACTAAATCTATACCTTTCTCATTTGTACACGTTTGTCTCGTTTCTTAACAAATGCAACCAGTTCCTATAATTAATTATATGAATATATTTTGAAAATCAATCATATAAGAAATTATTTTTTCTACATACTCGAATTTCATCGTTACGTTCCTTTTTTGCTTTATCACGTGCTTTCTTATTTTCTTGTTCCATAAGTCTTCGAACACGTCTATCTGTCGCATCACGCGTATCATGTTCTTCTACCCATACGTAACTACGTAATGTACAATAATTTGTCCAATAGGCATAAAATGGACCAACTATCTAGAAAAAAAGGTGCAAAAATGTCAGTAAGTAAATTATCATAAAAAAAACAAATACTAACTTGCCTGTTCATAATCACTATCTGATTTGCCAAAACAGGGTATATCGATCACTTTATCTGTTGAATTACTAGATAAATCTTGTTCAGTAATACGTTTAAATAAATTATCATAGACTGTATAAAAACCCTTTAAAATGAAAATAAACAAATAGAGATGGAGATGTTTTATCAGAGGTGCAGAATCTTACGTTTGCGCAACCGGCCGGTTGTGGAAAAATTTTGAAAAAATGTCTTTACTGTGGAAATTTATGGGAAATCGTCGACACTAGGAAACTTGTGTCATTTTTGGGAAAAAATTTTTCGGTTGTGGAAATTTTTGGATTTTGTGTAAGGTTCTGCACCTCTGTGTTTTATCGATTTGTACATACGTTTTCACTATCATTATATCCTTGATAACAAGAGGCGGTGAAAAATGGATAAATGTTTATTACATCATCTTGGTAATCTCCACCATCACCTTAAAAAAACACTCACGTTCGTTCTTTTTACTATTCATCTGTCATGAGCAGTTTCTAACCTCTTTTGAGCATAACATCACGATGCTGATCATACCAAGCTCGTTCACGTGGATCTGTCAGTACCTCATAAGCAGCTTGAATTTCCAGAAAACGTTTTTTAGCTTCTTGAATTTGATCTAAATTTTTATCTGGATGCCATTGTAATGCTAATTTTCGATAGGCTTTTGTCAATTCAGCATTATTAGCTGTTTCTGTGACACCCAGAACGTCATAGTGACAACGCATGACGATATTTGAAAGTCTCTAAAAATAAAATAAAAATATATTCATTTTAAATATATGCATAAAATACATAATTATGGAAAGTCCGGCTATTAATTGACTATGAGATTCTCAAGACTCTGAAACGATTAGTATTTTTCGATGATTAATAGAGCAAGTGAGAGTTCTAGTTGTGTCTCAACTTTCTCTTCCAAATCTCTCTTCGTCGTAAATACTTTAGACTTGTACAGTTTTTCAAAATTTATTATCGTCTATTCATCACTCTAAAAATGTTCGCATTTCACCTTCTGTTTATGGTTTTTCTCCCCAAACGGTACATTCTTCGTTTTTTTTCCAACGTTTGTTATCTCAACGAAACGTTTGTCAGTTAAGAAAATCGTGTTAGTTTCTTTTTTCCTACTTTTTACCTACATTTATATTTGTTTTTTTTTGCTTATTTTTTTAAAAATATATTCTTTTTTTACTACTTCTGGTTCTAACCTTAGTTGTCTTCTTTATTTTGTTCTTTTTTATTACTCTTTTAATGTCGTTTGGCTTGAGTCATTGTTATTACAGGTCGGGGACCTTTGATGACTCGCACTTTTCGTGAATAAACCAGTCTTAGTCTTAGTCTTAGTCTCAGCTAAGTAAACAATGGATCTTAAAAATGTAATTTCATTTCTTAGAAAACACATTCCAGTTTCGATTATAAAATATATAAAAACTTGCTAATAATTGAGCATTATAATTTTGGAAAATCATGCGACGGAACAACTGTTTTAAAAAATGGACTAGAACCAAGACTAAATCGTCTACATCTTTGAAAATTGTTTGAGACAAAAAAGTTAGCAAAACATAAAAAGGAAGAAAATGTGTAGCAATCCTCATCAAACAGAAATCAACCTTCATACTTGAAGAAGAATGAGCTAATTTCTATTCGTCATTGGTCAAGACGAGTTACAAATAAAATTTCGTACAACGAAGAGTCGCCATATTTAGGAAGCAATGAACTCTATTCTACAACTGTTCTTGATTGGTTGGTTGCTCCTCTTACTTCATTTAAACATTTTTCTCTTTGGTCTGCAATTTTTACCTAATTTATATTTCTTGGATTGAGCGTTCTTCACTAATAGAGAAAAACTTTTCACCATGTTTTCTTCCAAGGTTAATATACAATTAATATTGATTGCAGGTTACTCATTGACATCCAATGAAGTAATGCCTTTGACATTAATCGCTCCGGTGGTCTTTTATCCAACAAAGAACATACCATTCAAGAATCCAAAAGTAAAAGAAAAGAAACAAAACAAAGTCATGTCATAACAACAGATATGAGATGACAAATAATTTTTATCTAAGATGAAAGTTAATGGCTATGGTTCTGAAAATCTTCATGAATGGATTATGTCTGGACTGAGCAGAAATTTAAATATATTACTAATCGTACAAATAACGGAAAACACTGTAATATTAAATTAATGGATAGTACAGATTAGGCTGAAATAAATCTGAAGAATAAATAGTAACCTACTTTTAAACACGACTCTTCCAATAGAGTTGAATTTTTGATATTCTTGTGAATATGCAATCACTACAACGTCGTTGTGAATAATGCTTATTCTGAGCTGTATATTACTTTGATGCGCGTTTTAACTCTCTTAATAAGTTTCAGTGTGAAATATAAGATAAACATTTATGCAAAATTTATGCTACTACAGAAAGCATACTGACGTTATTTGTATACATCAATCAAATAAATTCTTGAACATCAACTTTTCATGAAAATAAAAAGAACAAACAATTTTGAAATAAAATAAACAGTACATGAACGATAAAAAGAAAGCAAAATGCATCACAGTACCAAACATCAAGTCAGAATATACCTAAAAGATGCTTTTTGTTTTCAAATAGTACAATGGCGTCTAAAAATTATCATTTGATAAACTGACATATTTGTACATATCATTTTCGTTGAAAACATAGGGAAGCGCACACAAATTTGGAAAGAATGTTGAGTAATTATTGAGCATCAATTCTTTTTTTTATTAACGATATTTTTTCTAGAATTGAACAAGATATTAATTAACGCTGGATTGATTCGCCTTTTGGTACGTGTCTGATAGGTTTGTTTCCAAGTATACGATCGATATCAGTCAAGATGGTTGGATTCAATTTTGAAACAACCTAGAAAAAATGAGTGCATAGGCTCACTTGACAGTACGCTGAGAATTTATGTTTTATCAAGTGTCAACAGAAATAAACATTTTTATAAAAAGGCAAAGATATAATGGATAGTTTTCCTCGTTTCGTATATATCTTCGAAAATTCAACATACAAATTACTTGTTTCTGTATTCTTGTGCTGATCTAACAATTACCTGTATAGAATTTAAATTTTCATATAATTGTTCGACAGATGATACACCCAACAAAACACAGTGAACATTTTCATTTTTCAGACACCAGGCTAGAAAGACATGAAATGATCGTGTAAATATTAAAGAGTGTATCGAAATTCGTTTCTTACCAATGGCCAGCTGTGCTAGGGTACAATCCAATTTGGAAGCAATTAGTGCTAATTCACGTAATTTTTCTTGCTGTTTTCGTCCTTCTTCATTTAAAATTTTATCTTTTAACCAACCATAACCCTTAATTAAAAACACATCGAATACTTTTTTCTCTTACACTACCCAACAGCTATTTTACTTTTAATGCTGCTCGAGAGTGTAATGGTACACCATCATCATATTTTCCTGATAACAGACCACATGCCAACGGACTCCAGGTCATTGTTCCAATACCTTCAGCAGGAAAAATAGAAAGAAAGATAATGTAGCTTTTAATAAAGTGTCCACTTCGATTTCACGTTAACCGATGTTGCTTATAATTATCAAAAATAGTATCTACCTATTTTACTAAAAATTTCTGGTAGATGAACTTCAACTTTATCACGTTGAAATAAATGATATTCAGCTTGTTCACATATTGGTGGTATCAGATTGAATTGTCTTGCAACAGAATAGGCTTCCTTGAAGAAAAAAAAAAGCCAAAATATGTAAGTAGAAAAACATTAAAGAATCGATCTTTTTAATCGTACCATTATTTCCATTGGAGACCAACGCGAGGTACCCCAATAAAATGTCATATTCATATTTATCACTTGAGTGAATGATCGAACAATCTCTGAACAAAACAAAGTCCCATAGAACGACCAATTAAGTAAAATAAAAAAGCTGATTTTGAAGTGATGTATAGGGGACAAGAAGTGATACCATGCATTACTTCGCTTCATTCACAAGTGTATATGTGAAAATTTTTTTTTCCTGCAAGTAGTTACACAACATTGATATTATCCTACAATAGTTATTAATGAGATCGAGTTAACCGACAAGAAAAAAATGAGTCAACTAACTATTCTCAGTTCTGAACATGATTAAATTAACAAATACGTGGAAGTTGCTCTGGAAAAGGCAAATTCTTTAAACTTAACACAGTTTCTCGAGATAGTTGAGATCAGAATGAGCAACATGAGAAAAATAAAAGCACGACAACGTACGGATTTTTCTTAAAAATACAACGAACGTTAACATACATTTAAAAGGCAGGAACGAATAAATATGTACAATATAAATGTAGCAATGATTTTTCAAACATGAAGTATGTTTCACAAATCTACAATCGAAGAGATTAAGGTTAAAAGCAATAGCATTATATAAAATATAGTCGAAGCAAAGCGGGTTCTGCAATGTGAACATAAACAACAAAACAAAAACGTTAAGAAATATTTTCATCTTACCTTCCATTGGCACAGTGGGATCAGGTTTGTTAGCAAATACAATATCAACATATTCTAATTGCAATCTCTCGAGACTGGCGCGCAGACCTTCGATTATATGTTTTCGAGATAGTCCTTTTTCAGTTTCAGCCCTAAAAGAAGAAGAAGAAAAAAAAACTTTATTATAGTATGTCAGAGTAATTTCCCTTTTCATAACACACTTTCCACCCCAGTAAAGCTTCGTACAAACAATGTAACTAGAACGACGCCATTTTTTCTTTTTTAATACTTTTCCTAACGTTATCTCTGCTCTAAAATAAATATATAATATTTTAAATAAAATAAAAATAATCGATGCAAAAATCAACTTACTTTCCGGCAGCATACACTTCTGCTGTATCAAATAAATTAATTCCATTCTCATAAGCAGTAGTAATCAGTTCCTCTGCCGCATCATCAGATATTTGTCCACCAAATGTTACCCATGTGCCAAGTCCAAATTGGGACACTCTCAGACCATTACGTCCAAGATTTCTAAACAAAAAAAATATAGATAATCAAATATATAATAATCCTCTAGAGATGACAAATATTCAATAACTCTGGAAAAACAACAAGATATCTAGCAGATATGATTGATTCAGCTAGGAAGAAACATGAATCAAAGACACATAAAACTATTATCAAAACAACAAAAGTTAGATTCAGATTTCTAATAAGATACTTATTTATCAATTATAACTTTTGAACCACAGAGTAAAGGTTCTTCGAGCATTCTATAAAATTTTATATTTTTTCATTACGTTGTGTATGCGATATTCATCATTTCACAAGTTTCAATTTCCATCTAACTTATGATAATTAACTCAAAAAATCTCTCAGTTTTGAAACTGATAATACATACACATACACATATATATATATATATATATACATCAAAGTACGTTGGGTGATATGATATAACCCACGTCTAAGTACTTAAAAAAGAATTATCCTTGTTGTTAACAAATTAACATTAATTAATCTTGTCTTAAAACATTCTTTCATGTACCTGCATCTAATGGTATACTTATGAAAACAAGCCATTGTACGACTCGATTGTTGATCAAAGGTATTATATGTGGTTAATGTTGTTGTCGCAGTTGGTGTTGATGATGATGGAGGAAGAGGAACAATTGTACCAGCTAACGTACTAGCTGAAGGTATTACATGAAAATAAATATTATCATTGCTAGCTACTTGTGCTGTTTGTACATGATTAGAAAAAAGTTGAAAATGTTTATGATTATTTAATGAATCAGAATGAGATAATAAGCCAATTGGTAATGATGTATCTGTTGATTTTGTTAAATAAGATGATGATAATGTTTTATGAATTGATGTTATAGTTTGAAATGGAACTGGTAATTTTAATTCAGATGATAAACTAGTAGTCTTAGTCGAGGACGATTGTGGTGATGGTAAGTCAACAACTGAATTCATTACATGCGAACTACTTATTTATGGGTAAAACACATAATGTATATGAGATCAATTAACAATTATGTATAAATTTCAAAGTTATCTACATTGAATGTTCTTGTTGTTCTCTCTTTTTACATAAAAGGTAGTAGTAATCATATATATTCTTTTTACTTTTTTTTTTCTTTTTTTTCTATGATATGTTGTTGTTTTTCTTCTTACTTTTCCCATTTTATTCAAGATTTGTCTTAATCACAGTGTGACGTTATCAAAAGGAGATAACCCGTTGATCAACGTACACATACATACAGAGATCTATATACATAGTCATAAAAATCAGCAAGAGATTACTATCGTTTCTTTTATATTAATCAATATGGAAAAAGAAAGAAATACACGCAAAATTGATTCGAATTGTTTTAATGAATAGTAAAAAACTACAAATAATAAATTCTCTATATATCTACACACGAGACAAAAACCTCTCTTTTTCTTTTGTTCGCCATGTTTGGAAACAATCAGCTGAATAAACTCAACAATATATAGAGATACATCTATTTATAAACAATGCGGAATGGAAAACTGAGATAATAAAAGAAGAAAAAAAAACATACACAATCTTCTTTGTATGTCAACCGATAATACTCGAGTGCTACCCAGAAATTGAATATGATTAAATAATTAAAAACAATAACAATTGATACGAGACAAAAAAGTACTCTACCAAAACATGATGTTGTAAATGAGTCTCACGATGGTAAACACACGAAAGAATGGAATCAAAAGTAAATAATATGTCGAAGCAAATAATAGACACATGATGATAGAAAAAGGCTAAACGACGATTTGTATTATCAAAAATAATCAAGTGATAGTTTTACTTTTCGTAAAATTTAAACCATGTTCTACATAATCTCATTTAATAAAACTTTTTAGGGTTATGATGACTCCCTACTGTCTTATTTCACAGACATACACACTATAGTATAATACTATTGATACCTGTACGATGTTACATGAGAACATTTATTTCGTTGTTGTTTTAATTGTTCATTAATATATTGTGTACATTGTTTTTGCATTTCATACTCATTTGTATATCGAGTAAAATTATTTCCATGATACTTTGGATATGAATGAAAAAATTGTGCCATTACCAGTGTTTATATTCATTGTTTTAGAAAAAAAACAAATAAATAAATCGTTTTGACTTTAAAAATCTTTTTTGTATTGATTTCTATACATAGTATCAAAAACAATAACAATAGTACTAACAGAAAACCATTGTGTCACGCGTTTATTCATCTATCGTAAAAAAAAAAAAAAACGTTCAAGTCTGTTCTATTTTGTTTTTAGAACATTTTCTTTTTCTTTCCTTTTGAGTCTTATCTTCACGCTCATTTCCGGTTTTTATGTCCTTCTTCTCTTCTTTTTTAAACAAAATATTATATTGTTACGTGCAGTATCAGCCTTTTTTTCTCCTTTCGTTGTTGAACCAAAAAAAAACTAACTTTTTTATTATTATATATCTATATATATATATATATACTTTAGTCGTACAAAACAACAATAACGAGAATTATTATTAACCACAATCTTGCATTCTTTTAGATGAAGATGGAAGGCAAAACAACTCTTACTTAATTAACATTGAATAAGCAGTCAAAGGAACAAACAGCACTTAATTTTTTTTTCTAATAATCCAAATTGATACAGCAGAAATAGAAATGAGCGCGAGAAGAAAATATTGATTTTTTTTTGTTCTTTTTTTTTTTTTTTTATCTGTTCATTGTTGATTGTGTCGATAAAAAAATCGAATAACACAATGTTTTTTAGGGGAAAAATAAAAAGTAAAATGAGGGGAACGTCGATTCGATGTTCGATGTGGAAATTATTTTTTTCCACTATAGAATGTGAGAGTTTTATTATTCTGTTCTTCGTACATCTCTATCACGAAACGCTTGAGAAAGAAGTAAACATATCTCAAGAGTTTTTAAGTCTCGCTCATTACTTTATGATTATGTTATGAACTGTTGAACTACATGTAGCTAACAGTTAGTTTGTAATAACGTTGATTATAGACATTAGAATAATTGGACCCTTTTTATTTTGCTATTACTATTTTTCTATTTCTAAACTATAGAGTGATTGATGTGAAACATAATCTTTTTTTTTGAGAAACATCGTGTACTCGTTTTCTCAAGATAATTCACTATACAAGATAAATAACAGCATTTTATTCAAAGTAATCTAAAATCTCAAATAGAAAAATTATTTAACAAACAGAAATTTCGTACAAAATATCTAATATTGTGCGAATAAAAAGTAGACAATGTTCTCTTTACCTGGATTTAATCGAACAGATTTCAAAAATCCAAAACTAAGTTTAATTAGTAATAAAAATAAGTATACAATTATTTATATATACTCAACAAATGAACAGCACAATTTTTGTCAAATTTTCTAATTAAATGTTGACACTGAAGAGAATAAAAAGTAGAAAGAAAGAGTTTAAAATCATTATACAAACTAGTGTAACCGAAATCCAGCTTAAAATATGAAAATATTTATCATCCTCTATCGTAGAAAATTCTTTGAGATGAAAGAAAATTGAAAATATCAGTTTAGAGGTGATAATCAAATGAATTAGTGAACATACTTGTAAATCATATCTGTCATAATATAAACTGTGTTTGAATATCATAACTAATATTGTAAATGTTGACAAATGCCATATCATTATAACTGATTTTCTCGTCGATATCTAATGTATAATCAACGTAATCTAAACATATCATATCGTATATTTGAACTAAACATGTTGAAAAATCTGAAATAGAATAAACATAGTAATAAGTGTAATAAAAAAGAAATTGTCCATTGTTTGAGAATAAAATATTCTTTTTAAAGGTCTAAAAAAAAAATATTCTGAGTTTATTTTGCTTTTTCTCTTCTTCGATTTAATAATATAAAAAGAATCGTGTTGTGTGTGTGCCGATTGTCAAAATGGTTTACTGTACTATTCTATCTATTCTCTCTATGTTCTTTGTTTTATCTCTCTATTTCTCTATACATTCAAGTAGAAATAAATTTATCATCTAAACTGATTAGTTTTCTCAAGTGAATTCAATTAACATTTTTTTATTATCTCAAGAATGAAAAATAGACAAAAAAAAAAGGAGAAAGAAGGCAGATAGAGTAAAACTGATAACAAAGTTTTTCCATATGGTGCATAACGCCGTTTATTCGAAGGTTAGAGAAAAAAAAAATGAACTATTTTTCAACAAAGTAAACCAAAATGAGAAAGTGGAAAAAGATCGGTCACGGGTTGATACTCTGGATCGAACATCAATGTTAAAGAAAAAGATCAAGAGTAAAATCAGGGCATATGATGATCTAAAACTACGACTGTGGAGTTATATTCTAATTTTATTTCTTAACAATATATAGAAAACAGACTATATACAAGATTGACAGGGTAATCGAGTTGTGTGAAAGTTTTGACTGCAAAATGCGGTGTTAATTTATTAATTATTTTAGACCTTTAGAGTAAAACTATTGACGCAGAAGAACTGACGAGCGGAAAGCTTTTTACGAATAAATAATGTGATTTAATGTGAGTATGTGTATTGGGTAGTGCTACCATTTTCCTCATTATAAATTAAATGTCGAGCTTATGTCAAGAAATTCGTCAAGAAATATAGTTTTTATGTTTGCCTTAAAATACACATCTATGTGATAAACATTCCTATCTCTAGTGAAATACTGAAGAAATGACTGAAGCGAACATGAATATGCATCAGTAAAACATCTGTGAAATATCTCATCATCTATCGTGGCATTTTTAGGTACTGTTGGGATCTCCTGAACGCATTCAAAAATTCGAATCCAAACAAACGCATTTCTTTGTAAAAAAGAATAAAAAACAGAAAAAACGCTTTCTAAATGATAAAATAGGAAAAACCGAAAGAAATAAAAAAACGCATTTATTTCCGGTTTTTTAACGGCAGAAAACGCGTAAAATGTAAAAAAGACACATTTCCAAATGTTTGTCGTTTTCTTCCATTTCTGATTCTATAGAACGCGTTTATTTGCATTTTTAAGTGTTTAAGTTCTTTTCTACGTGTTTTTTCACCAAGAGAAACGCATTTATTGCCGTTCTAAATTAAAAAACGGAAGAAAACGTGTTTAAGAAATACACTTCCGTTTTTGCGTTCCACAGTCGGCAACACGTTCAAAGATGTTCGCGTTATTGGAGTACTACTAAGAGCGGTATGAAAGAATTTCTTGAAAAGTAACAGTAACCGGCTAAAGGAACACTAAGATCTAGTTTGGAGAAAATCTGGCGATTTTTTTTATGATATATCAATGAGGAATTATTTCGACTGTTTATTAGCATTTTACTTTTTGCAACAGAAAAAATACATGGCTTCGTTGTCTCTGGTTTAAAACAAGAAGCGTTTTTCTAAAAATTGGTAATTAGAGACGCGTTTCTATATACTGAAACGTGAAAAAACATTTTTTTCGTCGTGCTCTATCACGTGGAGACTTTCAACTTCTGAAAAAGTGTGTAGATCATGAGAAAAATTGGACCTAAAATTAGTAAAAACGTAGATACTTCGTGAAAAAAGCGGAATTTGCGCAGACATACCACGTATTACTGGAAATTTTAACTTAAAAAGTTTCTGAGTTCTCATCCGTCTTCGTCCTGAAAAGCACTTGAGGGTGATAATCAATCTGCTGGCTTGTTCCTGAGGAACAGGACCCTCCAGTAGACTGGGTGAGCTTCTACGCTCAAGCTCATCAGAATGAAAGCGAGAAAAACGTTAGTAACTAGTAATCGAAAGTACGGAGAAAGAACGCATTCAGAAAATAAAACGTGTTGGAACTTGTTCACTTTCTGGAATGGAAATGAATGCGTTCATTTGTTTGAACACAAACAAATTCATTTCTCGAATTTTTTTGGAAAAAACACAAATAAACGCGTACTCTTTTATGAACGAAAACAAACGTTTTATATTCTTGAATGACAACTCACATTTTTCATTGTCTGTAACACGTTTGTCTGGGTTCAAATTTTTGAACGCGTTCAGTGGTCCCAAAAGTACCTAAAAATGCCGTAATTGGCAGCACATCACAATATTATGGAGCAGATAAACAAGTGAAGTCTTTTTGAAAATCATTAAACCTTTGGGATCTCAAACGGAACGAAGCGAGTATTGTCTAGAACTTAGAATAGACGAACTCTACACTCACCTCAAGATGAGCATCGAGTTATCGTTCTCGAAAAAAATTAGTAAAGGAATCGGATCGAATGTACACTTTCTGGAAAGTGGGAATAAATAAACGACACAAATGATCGTAATAATGCAGTTACTGTAAAGCGCATTGTATTCAAATAGGAGAGGTGAGATGTACACTGATAAAGAAGGAATGGACAGGTGGTTAAGAAGAGACGGTGGAGGAAAGTGTGAAATAGCATTCTCTGCCTAACCGATTGTATTTGGTTTGAAACGGGTCGCTACCTTAAATCGTAAAAATATCACTTAATTGTCATTACACAAATACTACGTTAGAACCTTTTTGTCCTGTTTAATCCAGGTGTTTTGAGCTGAAAAAAATTTTTTTGAATTTCTTTGTTTTGATTGATATGAGTTTCTGGGTGCTCAAAAGTAATTTTTATGCAAAAAGAGAGGACTCCTGACAATAAAACTTATATGTCCGCCTGCTCTGTAGAAAATACACACCCTGTACCAGAAAAAGTTGATTTGAGACTTGTGATGGAGTAGCCCAAACCGTGTACTTTCGAACGTGTTATAGTTTTTGCTTAGACAGTGGTTTCTGAGGGGCTCTGACAGGTTTTTGCAAAAGCTATAAAGGCAAAAAATCTTTTTTCATTCTCAAGTTATTCAATTATCAACCCAAGGATATGCAGCATATATCTCTGCACAAATCAATTGGATGAATCATAGTCGATAATCTCTGACAAATTACTCTTAGTTATCTCCTACGTCCGATTTTTTGTCAAAAAAAATCAAGCTTTATAAGTCCGAACTTGCCCAGTTTTTTCTCAAAATCGCTTTTCCCACGTTTCTCCTGTATTTCCGGTGCTCAACCTTTGGGCTGGTCCTAAAATGGCGAGAGGACTTGTGAC